TGTTACCTTCTGTTTTTCATTTTTGCTAGTTACTATTACTGTCTTTAACATCACTGACTTATTGTTCCTCATGTTCAATCTTCTGTTAATGTATCCTTCATGTCCTATTTTGTATTTCTATATCTAGAGGCTTGTTTACTCAGCTTACATGCATAGTCTTTTTTATTAATTTTATTGAGAAACAAATAGCAATGAGACAGTTTCAAAACTGATTAGTAGGACAGTTTCAATAATTAATACACTGCATATTGTTGTCTTCATAGTGGTTATTCGTAGTACAAGATGCAGAAATGATATACTGTCCAAACACTATTAGTACAAATCTTTCTTCTCATTGAATTGAGAGAAAGTAGCTGTATATCTATATTAACTATTCTGTATATACAGATACAAAATGGTCCTCCCTTTGTATCCCTTTTTTGTTTAGTTTTTTCAGAGATGGATAATGCATAGCCATTTAAATAATGTAGGCATGTGAATTCAGCAAAATAATCCAGTATAGTCTATATTCAACATACCTATGCTTTCTTCTGCCATTTGAACCTTTACAATATAAATATAAGAATTGTTCTAATGTACTCATGTAGTGATTATTCCATCTTTGCCATTTATACATCAGCTTCTGTTGATCACTTTTGCTGTCCTTGGGGGTTGTATTTTCTTGCTTTCCATGCTTTGTATTTTTTGACTGAACAGTTGCCATTGTAAAATTCACTTTACTGGGCATCAGGTATTTCTGTATGTATGTAAATATTCTTGATACTTATTCTGACACCATGTTAAATTACTTTTTGGAAATACTTTGATTGTTTTGGAGTTTGATTTTAAGCTTTGGGTGTGGAATGAGAGCAGTGATTTTGCCACACCCTTGAGGCCTTAGCCTTCTGGGAGCCCTAACTCATGCGCCATGTGTTATAAGATTTTTTTCTCTCTGATCAGCAGAAATCCAAACTGTTTTACAACTGTATTGTGTCCCCCCTCTACCTCAGTTTTCCCAGTAATCTCTCTTTTTCAGCCTTTTATTGATTCCCCATATGCATGATCTGGGAATTTTTACCTGAAAACTGGAGGAGAACCCCGTATAGATTTTTGGACCACTTAACCCTTCAACATCCTCCTTCCTGCCTCATTCCCTCCCTCCTCTTTGTCTTTCTCTTTCTTCTTCCTCTCTCTCTATCTCTGTCTCTCTGTCTCTGTCTCTCTGTCTCTCTCTCTCTCTCTCTCTCTAGTCTCTCTCTCTCTTTCTCTCTCTCATCTCTGTGTCTCTCCATCTCTATCTCTTTCTTCTACAAAGGCAGGCGGATCTTCTCTTCTGTCCTAAAATTCTAGCCCCTTGACCTCTCCAATTCCTGAGCTCTTTCAACTCTTTCTCATAAATTCAATTGAAGAAAGCCTCCAAGTTCCATTTCGCTTCCCTCTCCCTGCCATGCAGCCTGACAGTTCTCGCCACAGAGTAAGCACCTGCAATTCTGATGCACATTGTTCTCTTTAAAGGTCTTTACCCTATGCTTTGTTTGTTCAATTTTGAAAAACATTAGAAAATATTTGTTTATTGCATGGTTTTTCTTTAAGATGAGGAGATGAATCTGATCCTTATTACTCATGTTAGCCAGAAACAAAAGGATCTACTCATGTTTTTCACAGGCATTCAAATTGTACCTGTCTACAATTGTACTGATTTCCACACACTGTTTCTTCCTTCACTGTTCCAAACTCAGTTCCAAAAGTAACAAAACAGAACAGCTCTATTTCTCCTCTGGAGTTTTCCTATTATAGAAGATATCAACATGTCTGATACTATAACAGTAAATGAAAAAAGTCACATACACAAGATTAAATATTGCATATTTTCTTTTGTATGTGAATCCCCACAATATAAACCAAGAGTGAAATTGCAAATAGATAATTGGAAGTAGGGAGAACAATGTTTTTCAAATGAGAAGGGGACCAGGAGATGGAGGGAGAGGGCAAGGAGGGGAAAAGGGGAGTAAATCGAGATGAGTTACATACATGTACCAAATCCTCACAAGGAATGCAACCACTACATACTACAAACATGTGCTAATGAAAACTGAAAAATCGATTATTGTCATTCAGCCACATATGCCAGTAACTGGAAGTTACTATTTTCTCCTCTTCTTTCCCAAACTCATAATCTAAGTGCTCACTGAACTCTTTCCTTTCCACAGTCACCATCACAACCCTGGAAGACTGCAACTGATCTGCGCCGATCGCTTCCTCCAGTGCTGCACTGCTCTAATCCATTATTTATATTGAAGCAACCATCATATAGCCTTTCTTTCCCTAAAATCAAATAACGAAATTTGAAATGCAAATTTAACTTTACTTAGTATATTTCTTGTAGTGCTATGGGTGAAAGAATACCAAAACTGTATAAGTATAGTGTAGGATTGACCAAATATATCAATGAAAAATACTGTGTTGGGCTGGAATTAGTAGTATCAGTTCAGACTTACTGTACATATACATAGGCATGCATATACATGTACATGAATATGTACAGAGGTATAGAAATAAGATACATATGCATGAGTATGTGTGTTTCTGGTTGCAATTTTCTATGTTCTGTCCACTGATAAGTCATAGAAACAACAATAATCTATCACTAGCAACACCTAATACTCAGAGTTCTATTCCAAACAATCTCCTGCAAAAAAAAAAATCCATTTCTGTGGGAGGCTCGATAACTCTAGGCCTCCAATCCTATTGTAAGTGGGTTTTGGGGTTTTTAAAAAATTTTTACTGAGCTAAGCTCCTAGTTCTTGTTACCCCACCTATTTTCCATAAGTCTCCTGCTATGCCCTGGAGGTGGGACTTCCTGTCATAGCCCGGTTGTCTAGTTACTCATGCCTTTTACCCGCCTACCTCATTTTTCTATGCCTCCACTATATATACCTAGTACTTCTCCTAAATAAATGAGACTTGAACAAAATCCTGTCTTGTCTCCATTTCTTGCGTCTCCTGTCCTTTGTCCCCTCCTCAATTCCCCGCTCTTCTCCCAGGTGACCTTCGTTGACTAACCCGCAGGTCAGGACACATTTCTTGGGGAAATTGGCTGATTTCAAGGATGAAGCAGGGAAAATGCAAAACAAACCTGGAGTGTACTGTTGTGAGATTTATTAAAAGTGTCCTCAAAGAATGAGGCAAACATATCAAAAGGAAACAGAAGCAAACTTAGTAAGCTAATACTGGAAAATATGAGCAAAACTTTTAATGAAAGTGAATAATAATATTGTTTTATAATCTATTGAATGAAATAGGAGAGCTTCCTAATGACAATTAGCTAATTAATTGAAGAGAAAGAAAGATCATTGCTTACAACAGAATGCCATCTAATGAATGTAGAGGAATAATAGACAGAAAATCACCAATTTTCTGGCTATAATAGTTATTATTCATGCAAGAATAACCAACAATTGCTGCACGTATTGAGAACAAGTTGGAAGACAAACAGAATAGTCTCAAAGCATCTCTCCAATAATTACTTTTTAATTATAAGTTTAAAATAACAGTTTAAAGTGGCTAAGGTACACATTAAGATTAACATTACTAATAATCGGGCAAATAGACATAGCCTGAGAAAAATACAACTAAATCCTAGGGATTTATTTTTAAAAATGAATGAAGAAGATCTGATTGTTATCATGAAAGAAAAGAATGTTGAATAATTGTATTAGATTATAGGTTAAAGAGACATGCCACTAAACATAATACATAATCCTGGATTGAATCTTAAATAAAAATAATTGCTATAAAGGGCACTTTGAAGATAACTTAAAAGTTTAAATGTGGTCTAAAATGGGAAAAAATGTCTTATGTTAGATTATGTTTCCTGAATTTGTAACTGCACTGCAGTTTTTAAAAAGTGACATCTTTGTTCTAAGGCAATATGCACTGAAGTCTGAAGCACAAGAAGGCATGACATGAGCAAATAATTCCCAAATGGTTTCTGATAAAGTGAAACGCACACACTTGTGTGCGTGCCATTTTAACAGTGTATGGCATGTAATAATGCGTTTATTCCACTATGATCATATTGCTGATACTATTGAACTGATGACCGACTAAATTCCTACCTTGTCCAGGAATTTTCATCTTTATAGTGCTCGGCTAATACGTGCTCGGGGTTTTCAGAACCATCATTGCCATCGTTCCTGGGCCCCACTTGTCACCCAAGCAAGGATCAGTATTTGTAACTAGAAATTGCTTTGCTCAAACTTTGATATATAATACTCCTCACACATTTGCCTAAGTAAAATCTAGAACCTATCAAATCACACAAGAGAGATCACACCCTAAAATGAAAGACTCCAGGTAAATTGTAATACTCAAGGGAAAGAGACCAAGATTTACACTAACCTTGCGCAACAGACTACTGAAGGCAAAATATTCATTTCACTTTACCGATGACAAGCCAGGAAGAGAGCTTTTCTAAGTTTTACATTTATTAGCACATGCTTGCAGTACATGAAGATCACACTCATTCATTGTTGGGGGTTGGTACCTGCATATGTTCAATTCTTTCTATGTGCCTTTTCCTTTCTGCCACCCTCTCATCCTTCTTACCACTCTTGTTCCCTTTCCCATTTGGGTTTTTCCTTTTTTCTATTTTTCATTTGTGCTCTGATTTATATCTTGAGTTTTTCAAGGAGAGAATCTGCCTTTCTGCTGGTCTATGGAAAGAAGCAGTTAGCACTTTAATTTGCTTTGTCTCCTTTTTTCAATTGTTTCTCCTTTTCGTCTTCCTGATTTTTTATACTTTTCTTTCACTTTTTCTTTCTTCTTCCAACTTTACATGCATATATCTGGTAATATGAATAACTGGTTGGAAGACAACACTGTATTACAACAAATATTGTGAAAGTCATAATCACTTGGTTAAGTGAAGATCTATATGACTTGCAATTTTTCCATTTAATTCTAACTTGTACTCTCTTTTAAAAAATTAAAAAGAAGAGAATATTCAAAGAATCACTGACCTCCAAGCCCAGGTCGCAGCCGGTTGTCATAGCCATCCAGAAGGCGATCCAAGATTCGGGTGAAGATAGTTATGTTGTCAGTGCTGTCTTCAGGAATATTAGGATGCTTAGGAGACAGGCTGGTGTAATGCAAGGAAAAGAAAGGGAAAATGATGGTTCATAGTAGGAAAGAATTACATGTCTAAACCCTTTTAAGTCAAGAAGATTTCAGTCAATAGGCCAAGCCAATGAAATAGCCCTATATCTTAAACAAAATAGCAATTAGTTCCTATCTGTCACAGTGATTGCCTCTGTAGGAAGTCAATCATGGGCAGTACTTGATCTCTTACTCCAGCACTACCATGAAGTTTATCAAATACATTCCATCCAAAGAGAGACCTACATAGAAATCCTGGAACAAAATGTTCCTAGGGATACAGTTGTACCTGGAATACAGTTGATTCATCAAATTTTGTTGCATGAATGAACAGGACTCAAAAAAGAGGTTTTAGTGAGAGTTACCTTTATCTAACACAGAGAAATATCAGTTTATAAAATAATAACATCACATGAAATAACAAATTACATATGAGTCTACCTCAGCCGTGACCTTCTGGAAACAAGGCAGCCAAGCCACAGTAGGCCACTGTGTGTTAGCACTACCGGGCCCCTGCACTTCTAGTGTTCCTCAGCTTCCTTCTACTTGTCTAAGCTGGGTGCATCCAGCAAGCCCTTCTGATCTTGTATTTTATTAACAGCATGATCAGGCCCAGATATTGTGACTGATAATTTCTCTTTTTTCCCATAATTTTATTGAGAAACAAATAATAATGAGACAGTTTCAAATCAAATTGGTAGGACAGTTTCTATAATTAACACATTGCATATATTCCTCCTAGTGGTTAATTGCTGTACAAGATGCGGACATGATATCCTATTTACAAACACCATTAGAACAAATCCCTCTATTCATTAAGAGAATGTAACTATATGTCTATCCTAACCATTCTGAATACACAGATACAAAATGGACATTCATCTGTATCCCCTTTTTTGTTTAGTTCCGTCATTCGATTATTATAGGTGTGTTAACTCAACAAAATAATCTAAAAGAGTTCAGTAGTCCATAGTAGTATTGGGTCTTCTGCTTGACTGGCAATGTCAGAAATCGTTGACCTGAGTCCCCTACAGCTCAACATAACAGCATGGCTTTACTTCTTATACTTCGTTTTTATACTTTGTAGATCCTTTGTCAGTGCCAACCATGTGGATGAGTCATGGCCATTGTTTGGCCAATGTGCTCTCTGTGAAAGCCTGAGAGAATGTTTTCTCTCCAGGTGACTCTCCTTAGGCACACTCTACATCATCAATCACTTTCCTCTTTGGCCCCATCACCTCCTTGATCAGAAAATTTGGGACACTACTGAGTTACATGACGTTACAGTACAAGTTCTCATTTCTGGACTTATGTGTAAACATAAGAATTATATAGGGGGCCTGCCCCTTAGCTCAGTTCTTTAAGTGGCTGCTTCAGCAAAGCAGTCAGGCTCAGGTTGCTGTGGTTCGATCCCCACAACTCAAGCCAGCCAAACCTGCCCTGAAGGCATTCAGAGCCAAAAAAAAAGAATTATATAATTCTTTATGCCTATTTTTAAAATATATTTTAATTTTTTAAATGTTTTTCATCATATTCTGTAGTAACTTAAAGTTCAACATATCAATACTTGATGAAAAATACCTGTTCCATGTTATGCCTAAGATGTTTGATATTCAGATAGATAGTGAGGTTAAGCTTAACAGCCTAGGTTGTATGGTAATAACAATAAGCTTCTCTTCTGGAGGGTTAACAACCTAAGTTTGCAGACTAAAATTAGAGAAAAAGGAGGGCCTCAAGGAAAGCCAACATTTTGGCCCTAGCCTTCCAAGGTCAATTAAGACTCAGGACATATGATATGGTGCAGAATCAGGACATGGACCATGAGCTAGAAATCCTGGGTCCTGCTTTACCCTGTATTTCTTATTTGGTGAAGACTGTTGAGCAATCTTAACTTGGACCCACGAGGCTGACTTTAATAAATACATAACTTTCTAGTATCTAGTTAATTGAGGCTGTAAAAGCCACAAGACACCAATTAAGAAGTCCTTAGTGAAAGTTGAGGTGCCCATATTTATCTCTAGCATCGAGCAAGGTTCCTGTTCAAAAAGACCCTCAGGATAAACTCAAGGTGTTCATAAGTAAGTGGATGTAACTTGAGACCATACTCTTAAGTGAAGTAAATCAGACCAGCATGTGTAAACATCATATTGCCTCCCTAGTGAAAGAACACAAAAAAGTAGATAAGATCCAAAGGTGTAATAGATATTGGGAAATGGGAAGACACCAATGAAAAGGCAAAAAACGGGAAAAGGAGAAACGAGAAAGGAAGAAAAGCAAAAGAAAAAACACTGAAAAGAAAGGTTTTTTCTTATATTTGATCAAATTCTCATGCCTATATCTTGTATTCAGAGTAACTATTTTGAAGATAACAATATGCAATGCATTAATCACTGTGAATCTCCTATTATCTGGTTTTAAAATTTTATATCATTGTTTTCATTGTTTTTCTTTTTAAAGAAATAAAATTTAAAAAATAAAGACACTAAGGAAGGAGCATGGAATAGCAGAGCCATCTGAATTGACTAGTTCTCACTCTTAATTGTCATTCTTTGTATGAAAACCTAGCAAGAGTCTTTTTTTTTTTTAACCCGGGATTGAACTCAGGTCCTTGTGCTTGCCAGGGAAGAGCTTATTCCACTGAGCCATCTCCCCAGCCCACAAGAGTCATTTTGAACAAGTTCCTTAATTCATAAATATAATTAAATTCACTTAATTATTCAATGCATTTTATTAAATACTGGGTGAGTATTATTATTCTAAGTGTTGTGATACCATAGAAAAAAATAAAGTAAGACAAATCAAGAAGCTCGAATGTAAACTGTACACGGAGAAAGAGAAGTTAAAGAGCACAAGGGCATGCATTTGGATTTATTAGTTATGTGACCTTAGGCAAGCCATAAAGTACCTCTTGTAGTTGTTTTAGCAATGAAAATAACTTGATATATATGTTGTATTAATATTAAAGAATATAATGTACTGCAGCTGCCAGGATTCATTTTTCATGTCTAGAAGTATTCAAAGATTGTTTTATCATTTTGAACAAAGCACTTCATGGGTTCAAATACCAATATTAACAGTGAAAAGCCAGAATCTCCATGAGCCAAAAGCCCTAAGGAAAACTGACCAATGACACACTGGAGCCTACTCAAAAGCAGGACAGATCACAGGGAATGGTACAGTGCTTCACTGGAGATGGGGAAGCAAAAACGGATCTAACTGCAGAGCTAACAAATGATATCTGTTGAAGGGAGAAGCACGGAGACTTGGTCAGGACTCTCTGGGGTTGGGATCCATCCGATATGAACTGTGAGAACTCAGTTGATTTTATGAAAGTCTCTTTTGCATTATCCCTTGTCTCTTACTGTAGAAATCTTGACCATGATTAGTTCATTTCTGGGAAACAGGTCTCTGGATTCAATGAGGAAACTTTTATTGGGTTAGTACACATCAGACACATCAATAGAACAGACAATCTTCACAGAGAATAGGCAAAGTATAAAGGGTTTCAGAAATTTTCCATTCCAGGTGCATTTATAGAAGAGAATGCTAATGGCCCTGAACATCACTTTTAATCAACCTGAGAGCTGGTGGGAAAGCTAAAAGTTGCATCAAAAGCCTAAATACAAGGATGATATAGTGTGCCACCCCTGAAACGACAGCTTCCGTCACACGCATTTCTATCTCCTGCTGACTCTGGTTGTGTGGTAGCAACATTAGCAAACTTGTCACCAATAAATTTAGAACTTCAAAGTAAAAAAACAATCAGGCCAGCCAGAGAGCCCAGCAGTGTAAAGCGCAAGCTTAGGGAAGCACGCAGGCACGATATGCTGTGTCAGCCGCACCCCGAGTGGGCTGTGCTGGCCACACACACACACACACACACACACACACACACACACACACAAAAGGGAAAAAGAAAGAATGGTAACTATTACTCCCAAAATGTTCTCAAAATTTTTCTCCATGACTTTACACTTCATTACTGATACATTTTGCCCATGATGCAAACTGAATTTCCTCAGAGGTGTAAGTGGTTTAATCTTGAATCCAACTCAGAACATTTTTCTCTTCAAAAGTTGAAGAGGATGCTGTATTTCGTACCAACTCAAAGGTAGTTTGAGGAAAAGAATCATAATACATCAGGATTACTGAAGGCCTTGAGATCATATAATGCTTTTCCCTCATCTTACAGAAAGGACAGCTAAACTGTAAGAGAACAGCGCTGTTCAAAGTCACATGTTCGTTATGCTGATGATACTGGTTCTTGGTCATGCCCATTGTACCTCAGCTCTGTCACTACTGGTTAGATTAGATATAACAATAATTCCCTCATTAATGAAAGAAAATGACATTACTAATACACTATCTGTAGATTACATAGATTAGTAGATTTCCAGTCCCAAAGATGTGTTGTTGTAACTTCTCTGGATTCAATGAGGAAGATTAAAGTGAAGTGACCATGTTAGTTGTGGTTCTGCCACTTAGTGCAGGACCTGTTCGTGCACATGCTAAATGGGGATGATAATACTCTATGTTTCTATGGCAGTGGAAGAAATAATAAGGTCATAAATTTTAAAATTGCTTTATATATGAGTGCTGATCCCTAGATTTCCTTAAGTTCCCCAAACCTCATGAAAATGCAATGTGAAACCTTTGAAAGGCAGGCATTTAAGCTAGAAGACAAAGTCAAGCTCACTGACCATGCAGAGATTAAGTACAAGATGTTAGCAGTAATCACATTAGTTCGACTTCCTTGAAGACCCCAGTGTACTTATGCTGGGGAAAAGAAAGCTGGAGAGGCCCAGCTGCAGAATTGCTGGTACAGTTCACACACCAATTTCAAGAAAAGAGAAATCTGCTTCATTAAAAGGAAGGCATCTTCTCTAATGCTGCTTATAACCTGAAGGAAAGTAGAATTTTTTAAATAATGAAAATTCTAAATTATGGTCAGATCACATCACTGCACAGCTCCTAAGTTCTCCA